AGAAAATATAGGCGATTGTCCTCACATTGGATAGGTTTACCGGTACTACTACTACTACTACTACTTCTACTACTACTACTACTACTACTACTACTACTAATAATAATAATAATAATAATAACAGTAAAAATTGTATTATTATTATTATTATCATCGTTATTTTTATAACTATATCAACACTATCATTTTCGTTATCCTTAATAATTTTATCACTACCATTATTATCATATTTCATTGATATTGTTATATTTAGGCCTATTTTAATTACTATTTTTATGTTATAATTTAGGTATTATTTGGTCTTGTAACTAATGTACTTGTCCATTATTCAAATGAACAAGGAAATGTAGCCAGCAAACAACTGAGTACTAGAACTTTCTCATTAGTATTATTATTACTGTATTTAATGTGTTATTATTATTATTACTGTATTTAAAGCTTGATTACAGTATGTTATTATATACGGTATGTCTTCAGATCACTGTATGGTATTTCATACGTAAATCAACATATGTAATGTTATTCTTATTTGCCTTTTAATAGGATTTCCATCAAATGTCATCTCTTCCCCCTGCAGCAGACATTGTGACTATTGTTGGCTTAAGCATATCAATTGCATCTCTATTTCTGACATTACTTACTTTCGTGAGTAAGAGGTATGTACATATTTTATGTTATTAATAAAATATTATTTCTTACTTAAATATTATATATATATAGTAAATAATATAATATATAGGATGTAGTTTTGTCGTCAAAGACAGTGTCTTTGCCCAACAGCGTGTTAGTTGAAGATGATATATAGAATGGCATTAAATTATGCCCAAGTTTAACAAAATAAATAAATAAATGTAGTAAGATTATATTTATGTAGTTCAATTATGATGATCTCATTAATTTTAAATTCTATTTAGGAAATTTTGGAAGAGTGAACCAAAGCAAATTCTATGTCAGCTGTGTTTGTCTTTGCTTGGTCTGTACATTGTATTTCTTGCTGGAATTGATCAAAACGAAACGAAACGAAATGAAACGACTGAAAACAGTCTTGGGTGTACGTTTGCTGCAGCTCTTTTGCATTATTTCTTGCTATCGTCAATATTCTGGATGAATGTTCAAGCTGTAAAAATGTACTATTTACTTGTGAAAGTCGTTAATAGTTACGTGTCACACTTTCTTTTTAAGGCTTGCTTGTTTGCATGGGGTAAGTATTTTAGTTTTATAATGAAGATATTTTTCGTATTATGTATTATTGCTTAGAGTGTTACAGTGTTTTTTTTATTTTTTTTTTATTTTTTGGAAACCAGGTGATTCTATTTATATTTATTTAATTATTAATATCAAACTTTTTCCACAGGTTTACCAGTGATAATTGTCTCGGTGTCTGCATTTGTTGACCTTGATAGCTATGTGGATTTTGAAAAGTAGTAAGTTATGGAAAAGATTAAACAATGGGCCTTTCCGTTAAGCCCTGCCCCTTGAATATTGTTGCTAAGGTCCCAACAAGACGACATTAGGGAGCTTTTGATTGCAAGACGACGGTAGGGCGTAGAACGTAATGACTTTACTAAAAGTCATCTGCGCATGCGAGAACGTTAAGTTCACCTAGTCGAGTATGGAACGCCAAAAGGATAATTACAAGTGGCGCAGTGCAAAAGTTAAGTGGAACTGTGCAAAAGTCAAGTGGCGCAGTGCAAAACTAAAGTGGTGGCACACGCATTTTGAGTTTGCACTGCGCCACTTGACTTTTGCACTGCGACTGACTTTTGCACTGCGCCACTTGTAATTTGTCCTTTTGGCGTTCCATAGTCGAGTAGATTCTGGAACGCAACTTGGCCAAATCTGTGTGCAGAGAACGTAGGACGGCAGGTAGGACGGTCACGCATGAGTGATTCCGTTCTAGCGTCGCTCCTCGCACAAATTGAAAGGTCCCTGTGTTAAAACATAGGCTATGTTCTCACACGGCTGCTAACGGTTAGCAGGATCCGGATCCTGCTAACCGTTAGCTGCCATGCGTCCATACGAGAAGATCCCGATCCGGACCAAGAATATGATGATCGAAACACCTTCCAATAAGAAACTGGAAATTGTAAACGCGTAACTGTGATTGGTTGATAATAAAAACGTGCCCCATTGCTAACCAATAGCGCTTGTTACCGTCAGCGGTATCCGGATACTGCTAACAGTTTGCGCTAACCGTTGGGCGTTCTCACGCAGGTGCTAACGGTTAGCGCTAACGGTTAGCTCCCGATCCGGATACTAGGGCTCTCGTGAGAACCAAGTCATAGGTGAACACGTGCGTTTGTGTTATAATACGTGTGTTTGTAAGACGCGCGCATGTTGCTTGCACTGTTCTGATTAGTCAGATGTTAAGTTTGACTGACACTCCGGAAAGGTCTATTGCTTGTCAAACTAAAGTGTGTTTAGAGTTTTAGTCTTGTCTGTACTCAGTATACACTGCTAAATACCAAATATACAATAATTTAAGTACCTATACACAAGCCTGCATATTTCAATATAAAATATCATTTGTTGTCAGTATTTATTAATTTGCAACAGCACACCCAGCATATGGTGATACGAAATAAATTCCTATAGGGCTACTGGTAATATCAAGGCCTATATATTATTTTATATTATTTGCACGTTTACTATTAATTGTTATTATTTTGTGTATTATGTGACACATATGTAATAATGTCTTAACTACGTACCTTCTGGTGTTATCTATCTACTTGCAGTTGTTTTCTGACACTCCAACGTATGTACTACTCTGTAGCAATTCCTGTCGCTCTATCCTTACTTTTCAACACGACCGTATTCATTCTGGTTTTGCATAGTTTAAGGCAGGTCGGAAAAAACAGAACTCAATCTACCATAAAAGGAAAGGAAACCAGACTCAGTGGGATTCAGATGATGAGAATTGGAGTGAGCATTACAGCAGTTTTCGGCTTAACGTGGTTGATCGGTTTCTTTTCCATCGGAGATGCTTCCGAAGTTATGCTGTGGATTTTTTGTATTCTTAATTCTTTCCAAGGGTTACTTATCTTCGTATTTATGCGTTGGAAATAAGGAATTACCTTCTTACCAGGGGTGGCGCCAGTGGGGGAGGGGATGGCCGTCCGGGAGAAAAAAAATTGTATGTATTTTCTACATGTTAGTAGACTCTAAAATCGATTAAATAAGCATTCTGAAACCCCTATTTTGTCAAAATGTTCGGACCACTTTCGAAACCTTTTAATCAAAGCTCGACCACGCCCACTTTGCTTTCGTCGGGGAAATCTGACCCCTCTAATTATTATTATTATTATTACACCCATGTTGAAAGTTTCTACTTGCTTTTTTTGCCTTTTTTCAATTCCTTATGATTTCGTCATTTTGTTTATTATAATTGTTATATTTCAATTATTCATGTTATATAATGTATTTTGATGATGAAAAAGGAAATAAAGTTGTATTGAATTGAAAAAAAATCAATTGACGTACATCGATTGAGGACAATTGCAAAAAATAGACAAACATGGAGAAACATTAGATAGTATAAATTTATTATTATCACGCATATGTCGATTGACTTTTTATTATTATTATTATTATTATTATTATTATTCTTATTATTATTATTATTATTATTGGGCCTATTACTTTTATTACTTACTACTATTTTTATAATAATAATAATAATAATAATAATAATAATAATAATAATAATTATTATTATTATTATTATTATTATTATTATTACACTCATGATGCCTTTTTTTAATTCCTTATGATTTCATCATTTTTTTAAAATTATAATTGTTACATTTGAATTATTCATGTTATATCTGTCTCTTATACACATCTAGATGTGTATAAGAGACAGTATATATATATATGATATTGTCTTGAGTCTTAAAGCATTGATAGTTAAGAAACACTGTAAAATAATTAGCCGTCTATTATAGATACATTTTATGTCCATTTATATATGATCGGAGGATTATAGCCAAATATACTCAGACTTACATACTGTCAAATGTATTAAAATGAAGAACTGCAGACTGATGGTAAAAGTCCTAAGCATATCTGAAGACTTAGTATTGTACATTGGCACATTAATTGAAAAGTAACACCACATTTATTTGATCGGTGAACTTTTATTTCATTAAAACCAGCTTATTTTGCACATTATATATTTGTTCCGTGTCTTATTTTCATTTATGTTGTGACAGTAACTGTAGACGATGAGTTGCCATAGTTCTCTTGTCAGATAATTTAAGATGAATTTTAAATAACTTCTAATATTGTTCATCCATATTTCATCCAACATCATAAACAAGGAATTAATATTCAAATCACGAAAGTTGTGGTCTTAGACCCTAATAAGATCGTAATAATATCGTATGGACTCTGTGGTCTAAACACTATGACACTCACCGAGTTAGCGAGAGATTACAAGAGACCTCTTTTCATACAACTATAATCATGAACTTTCATTGATGAACTATGTCTGATAGGAAGAAAAATTTCTTGAAAGTTCACGAAAAAAAAAGGCTATCATTTTGGTATAATCCTAAGGAAACCACTTATGATTTGGTTCTAAAATTAAAACAGTCTAATGGTTCAATCATTTTAAAACTTTATTTCAAAATGTCAACGATATTATATTAGGAAAGATGAAAATATTATTTGTGAGAGTAACGAATTTATTAATCCGAATACTGAAACCCTGAACGATTTACTCAATGCTGAGTTTTAGTGCAGTATACGAACAGAAACTATGATATTCTGTTGAAGTAAAACAAGCTAATAAGTCACAAAATCCTGATAAAGCTCCAGGAATTGAATGTTTACATGCTGAATTTTTGACCTATTCACCTAGTTTTGTCATCAACTTAATAACAAAAATATACAACTCCATTTCAAATTCGACATTATTTCCTAAAGAATGGACAAGTCTTATCGTTCCAATCTTTAAAAGGTCAATAAAAATAATACGAATAATTATAAAAGTATAGCGATATTTCCTGCATTAAGTTAAAAATTCCTAATTTATTAATTAAATCTAGACTAAATATTTGGGCTGTAGATGTTAATTTATTTATATTATATTATTTTCTTCAAAGGGGAGGGGAGGGTAAATTAAAATAACATGAAAAATGGTACTCAAGTAAACAAAGCTTTATTTACGCTGAAAACGTTGATCCATAAATGTTTAAAAAATTTACCGGTAAATATTTTGAACCACATTTTTTTATATCAATTTTTACCCATTTTAATGTACGGCAGTAAAAATATTTGTTCACAACAAATCTTCATTTAAAATTTGTGAATCGATCACTTGAAGCAAAAGCGGAAAAATTGTAAACAAAGTTCTCGGCAACATAGCGAATCATCAACGTTAAAAATCAATAGTAAAAACAAGCCGTCGCCACAGGTACCGCGCGGTGATCTCTTGTAGGCTGGCCTTTCACGCACCAACACTGCAGCTCATTATCACGATCTTGAATTCGATGTGAACGCTTTTGAAATAATGTGATAACGGATATCACGATACGAAAGCGCGTAAAGATTATGTATAAACGTGCCTCTGTGGGACTAGGTAGGACCTTAGCAAATCCAAGGGGCAGGACTTAGTGGAAAGGTCCATTAAGATTGGTTCCCACTTGCAGAAAAAAAAACCTGCCGGAACGAAAAGTAAAGAAATGCTCTTCCAGCAATTTCGTATCTCCCCTCCTTACGGAAAGTTGAATTAGCATTTCTTACGTGACGCAACGTAACAAAATGGATACGGTTCTCACTTGTGGTCGCGTAAACGCAATGATTTTCACGGGAAGCTTTCAAAAGCCGTTATGAAATTAGCATTCATTGTAGGGCTACTAATGTATTGTAGAGTGGGACTGGGTTGTGTTCTGAATATTGCTTCTCGCATTCATAGCTGGGTTATGTTTTAATGCTTTAAATTTAATTGATTTTTGCTTTTCAGTTGTAATAATAGGCCTACCCCGGAGGAAAAAAAAAATCAACATTATACAATTTTTCGCAGATGTAAGCCCCAAGATGATGTTCATGTCTGTTTCATAAATATACAGTTTACACTTCTTCAGATTCTTAATTTTGTGGTCGGTTACTTAACTTCAAACTAATCGGTGTTTATAAATATAAATTAATAGGTGTGACATAACAATTTCACTGGTAGTCTTGCTTTGTACCAACACACGGGGGCGCTGTCTTTATATTTTCTTAATGGAAATTTCTCGCCACATTGAAGCCAATTCAGAAACAATTAGTAACTGAGAGACAATTCTAGGTGGAAGTGCTTTAAAAAAAGTTCAATATCATGCCTTTCAACCACACGTCGATCGTCTAGAAAATTACTTATGCGGATCCGGACTGTACGGAATACACAATCAACCAGAACTAGAACTATTGGGAACAAAATCTACTCAGCCTAACACAACTTGGATCATAATCCAACTCTGGACAAAGAAAACAAAATAATATAATTGCTCAAAGTTTTGAGCAATTACGTTAACTGAAGAGAGGCAAAAGTAACACCCTGTGTATCAAAAATAATAATAATAATAATCAGGCGGAGTCTTATTTTTTTCATGTAGGCCTACACTGGCAAAATGTGGAATAACAACTCATAATAATTGATTGTGATAAGATCGAGCTCTTTTCGCACATCAGTCTTATGGTGGCATGATACTCCGAACAATCCTTACATTACTGATTGTGTATGCAAGTTACCAACTGACTCTGAGATTTTGAACAACCCCGCCCTCTTGAGTCTAAACTCTGTCTGTTTCCCTATTTTACATGTTATTATCATGAAACTAAATTTTACGAAACATTAAACATAATGATCTCTTCATAGTTGCGTCTGAAGTCTTTCTCACGGACGACACTCGATACAACACTATCAATTGCAGGCTAATTCTAAGCACATGCCAAACATGACTGTACCTAAATTTTAAATATGATAAATAAAAATGTGGAAGTATATTTTAGTCATACAGGTAACAAGTGGCCAGCACAAGAAGCCCTGTGGGGTGAAAACCTGCAAAATCAAAAATATTAAATTTGTCGAGTTATAAACATACCTTAAACGTACGTGCGCTTTAAAGAACACAGTAGACCTTTCGAAGGGGGCTACCTCAGTGAACTGGTCCATTCAGCCTCTGCGGTGGACAGACGAAAGTGGTACCGGTTTACCGGGTAGCTCAGACATGAAGAGATCCTCAGTTGGGAAGAAAGTCACTGAACGAGCTAGCGGACACCTCGAGCGCTTTGAGACTCCGATATAAAACGCTATAGGCCTATACATCGAACTGCATTACATTACACTAATTAACGTTGTTCCGTACTCCTTTGCATTACTGCGGGCCTTATCAGTTCAGATTCAGGTTTTAAATTAATGCCCGGATATTTTACTTAGCTGTCCTAATTAGAATCTCGTTGATCATGCTTTTGAATATGAAATGCTGAAATTTATATACAGTATATATACTGTCTCTTATACACATCTAGATGTGTATAAGAGACAGGCTGTACAGTACTTAATTTTAATTTCTGAAAGGTTTTTATTTAAAAAAAATTTTACTCGTCATGTATTTGATTTGCGGCAAAAAAAGTACTTATTTGGAAAAAAAAAAGAAAACTTAACAATGCTTGAATTTTAGGAAATTTTTAAACTTGTAAGAATGTATGACGAATTCCCTGAGATTGGACGATGGTAAAC